ACATAAAACGCAATATGCGGAAAGCTTTATCGCGCTCGATGATTTTTATGGGCGCGGTTCCCGGGTGAGGTTCAAGAGCGGGGCGCGCAACACACGAGATGCATCATGCAAAAGGCGCGTGGCTAGTGATAGGAAGGAACTGCGTACGTGCGTGTGGGAAGCTTAGCGCCGACGTAAGGCCAGTCGAGAGAGGAGAAGCTTGAATTGACGTTGATTGGGCGTGCGACAAACATCCGGTCGCATTTCACGTCCCACGACAGGGAATGCGCCTCTCTTTCTTTGGTGCACTGCACGTTTGCGAGGTAGATCGAGAGATTGCTTCTCGTTTTCTCCAAGGATAGAAAAAGGGAGAAAGAGAAAAGAAAAGAGAGAAAGAAATAAAGGAAGATAAAGTTGCACTTTTCGTATCTCGCGCGAATGCGCTTTCGCCTTTTACTTGGCACGCGTATTGTACACACGCTCGCGTTTAACAGGAGAGACGATTTTCCGCGACAGTATCGTTGCGAGCAATTTTCTCCATCCACGTGTTGACACGTGTACATTGAAGAACATCGCGATGACAGCGTAATCGCGATTTCTTAGATTAATGGCGAAAGAATTATTCAACGGAGATGAATGTACTTTTTGTCAGTGCGGTGCAACCGACGGAAGTCCGTATGAGATATTATTTCATGACTCTCACGGGGAAGAACTTGCGTTGCGACACGCGGAGGGAAAAAAAAAAGGATGAGCCGCGACACCGTTAACGATAAATTTCCTGCCTGCTGCCTTTGTGTCTCCGGCATCCTACTTTAAATAGCGTTTACGCGTCACTGTCCAAAATGTAAAACAACGATTTATCGCGCGATAGCGCGCCCCCGCGCACAAAAACGGCGATGCATAGCTGCAGACGCCGCGACAGCTGACACTATCGCGACGCGACGGAGCAGAATCCTACGGGCGATCTAAAATTGCCACGTTGCGCGCCCGTGGATTCCGCTAATTTGTTACTGCCATCGCGATAATGCATTTTACTACAGCAGCAACGTCGCTGACTGACGCTCTTTGAGAGTGCCGCAAAAAATGTTCATTATATAAAAGCTCGCGATACATTTTTTATTAAAAAAAAAAAAATACCGATAGAGAAACGGAATTATAATTTATCATTGTAACGATGTTTTTTTTGTGAATTTTACATAAACATTAACTAAATGATAGTTCCTTCATGTGATGCGTATTACACATTTATTAAAAGATCTTTTCAATAAACATTTTCATTTGACACGAAAATGTTTAAATTGTAATTTTCTTAAAATTCACTTGGAAAGTTCTAAGGACGGCAGAAACTTCGAGATGATATATAGAACAACATAATTTACATGGATTTAACGTCGACGGATGAGATACAACCGAACTTGATTAGACGATCAAACCGCATAGTAGTTTCGCGTCGGATAAATCGCACGTAGTCCGTCTTGTCTTATCTAAATTGGCAGTGCAATTATAAGTACCAGAGATGCAATATCTCGCAATACAGTTTCCAAGATATCGTCGTATGTTTGCCAATAGGATTGTCCGGCCGGGATTATATATAGGATGGCGAAGCGCTGCCAGCCATGGATGTGATATTACTTGTCAATGTCCGTACCGGTCTGTATTAAACTCAATGATTGACGATAGGAGCGGGTACTCGCATACTGTGTATCGACTATAGAATTCCACGGTGTTGCGGCTTATCTACTAAGATTGATCCGCGTAAGATCACGGCATTATCAACTAACTTGATAGCGCGTGCTGCACGTAGATTTATGCAGCGCCGGTCTCCGGGTATAGCGTATCGTAGTAACGAGTCATGTATCTCGACCCCCTCCTTCTCCCCCAAGTCACCAATATGAAGCACAGACGCGCGGAATTGTAACGAATATTTTATGATAACAGATACGCGTCCATTAGTATTGCAGAGAAGTAAATTATGTTGTGTCGTCGCGGGAGAGTTTCGCGGTCGTGTAAACGTGCGGTTTACATTCTTGAAGCTGTTTGCAACTACTCGGCAATACCGTCGCGCGCGCCGCATGAAAAATATATATCCCAAACTTCTTCCCCTGACGTAAGCGATAGTTTCGGAGGGAGGAGAGGGGGGGGGAGGAGGGGATCGCGATTTTCAGAACAATCTCGTCGACTACGTGTCGAAGAAAACTTGTTAAGCTCTCACTCAACGAGATTGGTCGCGTAGCGCGCCAGGGGGAGGGAAATTATACTTTAATTACTTCGATTCCCGTGCGAGAAAAATGCGAAACTTCGCGTGTACGTAATGGCTAAAACATTGGCCACGGATATAATTTCCGCACCTTTGGAAATATCCGCGCTCGACGCGCTCACGCGACACGTTTTCGTTTTCAGGTGCTATAGCATTTCGGAAGCGTTCTCTGTGTGCGATCATTATTATCATATATTTTTCAACAAATATCTCACGGAGAGACGTGCCGTACTTGCATGCGCCGTCTCGCTATTGTGGAGACGGGACTGAATAGACTCGTAGTACCGGAGCGAGCCGCGAGCGTCTGAGAGATCGTCGGGTTGTTCGTCTCCTCTCTAATTAACTGTGAATTTACTTCTCTGCCTGACGGGCATCGTAGTCAGGCAATCCTGCAGGACCTGCAGGATATCGAAGAAAACTGGAATTGGGCCAGTTATATTACGGAACCGTATACATAACCCTTACATACACATATATGTATGTATACATAATGTACGCTCGTATGCATATAGATATACTTGCGCTCGTACATTTAAATAGGATCGTCTCTAAGACCAAAGGTACCTGCCAATTCGCTGAGTCCACAAACTATCTCGTCTTTGCGCGGGTTGTTCGTGCCTCCTATATACGAGTCCTCGAATAGTTTACAACGATAGAAGAGATCCGCGCGCTCGCTTAAATTCACGACTATCTTCGTTTGCGCACTGCTCGTTTGCCAAGTGAACGATCAAAGGACGCTCCGTGTTCGACTTTTAAGAGGCACTCAAAATTTTTAACGCCGATAAAATTAGAGACGGCTAAGAAAAAAAAAACTTTATGCCGCATAAAAAAAAAACAGTAAAGATGTATGGTTTCCGTTAATAACGATTAATTCAGCATTTCAGACTCCGTTATGCGGCACGCAACGTGTAATTAGAGATATGAATTCCTGCAGCACGGCCAATGATAATTTCATGCGTCTCTTATTCTTTGATTATCGAAAGTAATTAGTATAATTTTCCTGTATGCGATTTTCTTGATAACGACCGCACGTATATTTACGTATAATGGACGGCGTGCCGGCTGCGTGACAAAAATATTTTATTACTACGGAACATGGAAATACGCTACCGCGAAGTTAGATTAATGCGCTTTGATACTACCGACATTTCTACATCAATAAAAATTGCTTTCCGTAGAATTTCTGCTGATGTTATATACTACGTTCATCAGTTTCGTGCGAAAGTGCGAAAAAAATTATATACACATCCTTTTTTCTGTCCATTATCTGTCGCGTTGATGCTTCTCGTGACTTCGGATTCGATAAAAAAAAAGTGACTTACAATTATCTCGACTATTATCTCGACCATTATCGGGATCATAAGACCGTTGGTGTTCCATTATCGGTATCTGCGTATCATTACTATTATTTCCTTAATTATACCGCTGGCATATTATCTCACGAGATCGTTTTGCTTCGCTTCCTTAATGAAATGTGGTCAGTAAACAATCCATTATTTTAAATAAAGGGTTTCAGTTACTGATATCAATGAAGAATTATTGATTTCGCAATTGTAATGCGCGATAAAAGATCTCCCGCGGATAATTTCCAACCGCGTGCGTTTATACCGATTCCACTTTTCCGCGTCGTTGCCACGTGAAAAAAACAAGACGTCAATGTAAATTGTCTGCGACGCGCGAGATTCCTACTGGAAGATACCCCCTACCATGGCGACGTTGCACGCGACCACGCAATTTCAGAGTTACGAACTGGCCGGCGCGACGGTCAGCCAACTCGCGGCTCTAATTGGTCTGCTTTGCCTCGCTTGATTGCATACAAAGTAATTAAAAGTGTCACCATTCTACTTCACTTCTCTCTCTATCGTCAAACAACTCGTCTCTTTCTCTCTCTCTCGCCATTCAATACTAATCGCCCCTTGTAAACTCGCTTCCGCAACCTTTAACGGCGCATTTTCCGTTGCAATTGCGTGCTATTATTGTCGCGCTATTATGAAACTACACGTATTTCAAAGTTTGCGCAGTTCCACTATGTGACAATGTACAAAGTTCACGCTCTTCATTCTACATTCTTACGATCATTCCTGACCACGACAACGAAAGTCAACGAAGAAGTTGTACAAGTGTTTTTCTATAAACACGTCGGTTTATTGTGCAAAAAGAGTTTGCGAAACTTTTCGCCAGCAGCAGATGCTGCGCGTAAAAATCTTGCTGCTAATTAGGCATTATTCTGTTTACGCGAATACTGTAAATACTCTCAAGAGCAGACAGTAGTTTTTCAGACTCAACTTTCTCAGAACTCAAGAGCTCATTTTCAAACCATTCAACCCATCCAGATCATTTAAACTATCATAAAAAAATAATCTATATTTTAAAAAAATAAAAATTATATGTTACGAAAAGTCAAGGGATACTTCATGTAACATTTATAAGTACTAATATTTGTTCGAAATATAGATTTCAAATTTGAAAGACGATTTGGAAATAAAATGAAATCCCTACTTAGTTATACGGAAAGCAAAGGCCGGTATTCATAGTCGATTCTTATTTTAAGACTTAAGTCTTAATGTCTTAAAAAACCGTTAATGACTTAAGTTGCTAATATGGCTCTATAATTAGCTTATGACATCTTTATTATACTTAATTATACTTAAGACTATCTTAAATGTAAGAACTGACTATGAATATCGGCCAAAGAGTTAACTTTAGTCAACAATCATGCTCTCGTTCTAGATACAAAATTGCTCATTGCCATGTTCGTATTTACCTGGATAGCGGTCCACTGCTGATGATGTAGTGAGTGTAGTAGAATATACTGGCGATGGAGACGAGCAGCAACGCCAGGACGCAGCGCTTCACCGTCGCTTGCTTGACGACGCAGCGCGGACCGACGGCGCCTAGTAGAGGAACGCCAGCTTCGCTTGCGGATATCCTCATCACCATCGTCTCATTCGACGACGTCTCTACGGATGCGACAACGCCTCGACGTGGATTATCGCGAAGTCTTCGTCCTCGAGCGAGTCACGGGACGTGTTCGCCCGCGGCGTACGATCGGCGCTGCTACGCCAGTCAACGTGTCTGCCGACGAGAGGTCAGGTAGCAGCTCCGAGAATCGTCGATGCTCGTCGGGCGTCTCTTTCGTCCGCACAGCAGCATAGAACACCTTCGTCGCCATGGACTCGCGTTTGCAGTCTTTCGTCGATCATTCACGTGCAATATCGAATATCGCGCTACGTTTTAACGAACATTAATACGTATTTATCGATTTGTAACACTAATTTTCCTCGGTAAATTGTATAAATTAAGATTTCCTTTAACTTCTACGTATCTTCCGATGTATCCTCGACGGAAGCGATGTCGGTAGATCCAACGACTCGAATTCGAGGGAAACCAACGGTTGAAATCGAGTTAAAATCCCTGCTCTGGGCTACCTCGTCGTCTACCTTTCGATTCCACGATCAATGAAGTACCCTTTGATGAGGTTAACGAGCATCGGACTTCTCGTCTCTCGATGCGTTTCCTCCCCGCGGCGAAGGGAGTAAATCTACTTAGTCCGGCGAAGAGAATCCTAACGAAGAAATTTCGAGGCGATCGTACTTGAGACGGGCGAAACGGATTCAAAGTTCATCTAGACGCGCTTAATTCCGCTGGCGTCGCGTACACGTTCTAGGAAACAACACGATGGTCCTCCTGCTCGAGACCACTCGGTCCAACCGGTCGCGAACCTGATCGGCCCCGGATCAAATCCCGTCGTCCGTCTGTCGAGTAACATCGATGATGTCTCAGCATCGAGGCTCTGGACACCACTTGTTGCACTTACGTGAACGCGGTACGATCGCCATTTCGCAAGCAGCACGAGAGCCGTGCCTGCCGTCAGTCGCGAGCTGCGATTCTTTTAACCCATCTGGCCGGTTCTTACCACGGACCGTCGACTGTCATCGAGATCTCAATGTCGAGACGCGCGACACTTCGTGTCATCCTTGGATGTCCGCGAACGCGTATTAAGTCGCGACGCGTTCTCTCACGGGACGATCGTCGCGAAACGCACGTCGACGTCTCATCGTCGACGTTTCAGAATCATCTTGTCTCCGGGCAATTTCGTTGTAAACGAACGCGACTCCGCCGTTCGGCTTTCGTACCTCGGAACAATTCGGCGCGCGAGAGACGGCCAGGGCAAGCTTCACATCCGTGTCCTCGCGGATTCTTGCGGGTCTCTCCGCTCGTTCGCTCGCTCGCTTCGCCGGATAGCTGCCGCCTGTTTCCGGTGTCGTTGCACGGCGAGCGGGTTCACGGCTGAACCATTTGTTACGGCGCACGACCGCCCCTAGACACCATCTTGGACCCCGCGACGTGCAAGCAAACCGACTCACTCGTAAATTTCGAACGCTGCTTCGTGTCTTCCGCCCGACCCTCTTCTCATTCCCGCCTCTAGTTACCCCCCGCCGTTGGCTCCTTCCTCTATCTGTCAATTAGGAACGATGTACAGGCGCAGTGTTTCTTACGCGAAATAATTTTCGAAGTTTATTTCTTCGCGTCGGCGACCCTTTTCGTGCGACGTTGGAAAATCCCATGGTATCGCTCTGTAACAATCATAGAGAGAGAGAAAATCAGAAAAAATGGATATGACACGATGACAATGGTGTTACATATATTCACAGATTCTGTATCATTAATTTATGTTTGAGGTAATAGATAGAAGTGTTCAAGAGATTGGAAAATATTTCTTTTAATCTATCTCCTATTTGAAATTATTTTAAGATTGTACTTAATACATATAATAAATAGATAATGATAATGTCAATCGCTGGGGATAATAGTGCAAAAAGAGACGATTGCGCGAGTCATCTTGAAACAATTTAACAACAGCAACCGGATGATTACGGCGCCTAACAACTCCAATTAATCGACTATAGTTCAGTCATAGCGGTGCAGCTCTATCCGGTGCCACCGGCCTCCTCCCGACTAATTTTTTTCTCACCGGTTATACATCCGCCTTCAGCTAGAAGTTCATTAATCAGTCTCCCCCTCCCCCTAACCCCTCAGCCACCTATCCTAAGCGAGCGGCCCCGCGGCGTTACAAACTTTCGTTTTATCTGTTGTATTCGCGCGAGTCCATTCGCCGCCTCGGACCCTCTGATACGGGAAGAGGGGGTGGGAGGGAGGGGAGAGGGAAGAGAAACGAAGAATGCGATAAAAGGCTCCAAGGATAAATTGAAAATGAGACTGCAGAGCGGTAAGAAACGCGGGAAAACGTGGAAATGGATAGAATCGATGTCAAGGAGACCCTCCGGAAGAATATCACCCTCCGCGCGCAATCCGACCCCCTCCCCCCATCACCCCGCGTCTCCCGGGAGCTGACCCGACATTTTTCCCAGGGAAAATATTGATACCGTCCACGGAGCGCGCCAAGCTGATTTCGGGGAATCAAGTTGAAAGGAAGAGAGAGAAAGAAAAAAAAGAAAGAGAAAACGGATGCGGCAACTTCAAAAAAGACTTGTTCGCGAGGAGAGAGGGGAGCGGGGAACCGCGCGACGACATTGGCGCATGGAATTTAATTACACGGTCGGAATGACTGACACGCTAATGGGTGGACGGGGCAGCTCGTCGAACTTTGGCAATACCTTCCCCGCTTTTCTATTCCCCCTGTCCCCCTCTCGATCGAGATCCACCGTTCTTTGACTCGCTGACGTGTAATGATGGGATAGTTCGCTCGGAATGAAACTTGGCGCACGGTGAAACAAATGCTTGACGCGAACACAACGCGTGAGAATAGAACAATTGTTTCCGTGTTTACGTGCCGGAGAGGAAAATAAATTAGACAATTCGTTTCTTCAATGTCGTGTTATTTATCTATTGGGCTAATAATTTTTAATGTACAAGACAAAAGCGACGTAATGTAAACGTAATGAAAGAATGAATGAATGAATGAATATTTGCAAATATTTGAGAAATATTTTTTCTGATTTTTTTTTATATGGTTATAAATGGTTATAGGTGTTACATAAAGATGCTATAAACGAGCCAAGATAAATATATTTCTAAATCTCCTACACAGATGATATCGCAAAATGTATATTCAGCTATTTATTCTACGTTCTTTAGGTAACTTTGAAGTTATTTGTCTTGCTAAACAAAGACAGTAAATAAAATTTATAGCTGTAGTACTCCGCGCTTTTATTTAGATATATGACAGCATCCATACTAAATTTCCCCGAGCACGTTCAATCCCGTGATATTTGTTCGTCTTACGCACCCCCGGAGCAACTTTCCTCGCAAATTCCGCGCCGCGCGCGAAGTCGATTCATTTATTGCACAGAAATAATTCCTACCGGAGTTCCTTCTCGATCTTACCCAGTGCCGGGTGCTTAATTCGAGAGACACGTTTTGGGCTCCCCGAGAGGGTCGTTAGCCGGATGCATCACGTGCGCGGATTTAGAGGGAGAAGCCACGTAGGTGCACCGAGGCCGAGATTGCACGAGGAAACTACTCGATTGGCACGAAATGATTATCGGAGGTTCCTCCTGATTATTCGTTCGAACGAAACCATCTTTCTTCCTCGCCCCTGCCGAAGAATCTTGGCGAACCTCCTCCCTTCTCTCCGCTCTCTCCCTCCGGATCCGTCTGGGCGGATCCAATTTCATTCAAGCTACCTAGAATATTCCACCATGCACGCACACACATACGTACGCGATCCACGGCGTATACGTACTTATAAATACCCGAATGCAACTGGGGTTTTTAATTTACAAATGCCTTCCACGTAATCAATTCCAGCTTCTTCTTTCAAGCTTCTATCTTTTTTGGAGTGAAAAGTTTCGATGGGATTGCCATCAATAGTTAATGAGGGACGTCTCCCGTGTAGCAGAGAAAAGTTTTTTGGACGTCGATGTGAAATCAGGAGTCGGTCTGCTACACTTCGGTATACGCACAAAAACCTTCAAATTACACTACATAAATATTGAATATAAAAAATAGACGAGGTAGAATTAAAAAAAGAACGACAAAAATGAACAATCTCGTTTATGAATGTTTTATTATATGTCGGATCCGGAAAAATAGCATTGATCGGAAAGTGTCACACATCCCCAAGTTTCCTGCGACATGATTGGTGCGCTTCTTTTTAGCTCGTCGTGCAACAAAGCACTACGGAAACGAGGAAAACTCCCAAGAGAGTGTTCCGTAAGTATAGAAATCTCCCAAGTGAGACATATTTCTCGAAGATAGGGCATGCGCGAAATTTATCACTTCCTTCGCAAAAAAAAAATAAAACAAATAAAAAGACAATCGCGTTCTCCTTTCAATTACATAATTTTTTTAAATACCCAGAAGTTTTAATATTTAAAAGATATAATACCGATAAGAATTAAAGCGTAAAACAGACTTGCGAATTTGATAAAAGTTAACGATCTACTCTATTAAAACGTTAAAACCGAGTAATAAAGGATCAAGATTTTTTTCCCCTCAGAATATTGGATCCCTATTTTCCGATCCTATTATCTTCGCATACGATATTATCAATAAAGCTGAGTTTATAAGGTGTTTCGTAATCCATAAAAAAAATCCTATATTGCATCACCTATTAATGCGCGCGAACCAATTCCATTATTCCATTATTAGGTTGAGCAGCCTCCGCAGGAATTTCAAGAGAAAGAGCGGCGTCCGCAGGCACATTAAGCCCGCATATATGTTGTCGCTCCATCGAGCTTCAAAGTGTTAATAAAGGAATCAGCAATACATGTCAAATACAACCCGAACGTCACGCGGAATTACGCGAGGCTCGGGACGGGGGGCTGTTAACCGAAATTTTTATTTCGGGCTGGCTGCAATATGTCACGTCCTGCTGCGTGTGATCCTTGGATTATAATCTATCGTACAACATAGAGGTGTAGCTCTTTTTTTTTCTTGTCGGCTGTATTCGGCGGTGAGCACGAAAAAACAACGGCCGGAAATAACGCCTATTGCGCTCGCCGGCTGACCGGTCTCTCGCTTTCCGGCGCAATTCGTTGCACGTTACACACACACGCGCGCACGATGTGTTTCTCCCGCGGACAAACGCGCGCACGTCCGCACGACGTACGTATGTATTTTTGGCCGGGATAGAAGCGCGAAATTAAATCCGAGGAACGCGCACACGCACACACGGTCATCCCACGTTTTCATACGCCCCCGTCCTCCCCCCTCCTCTTGCTCCGGCTTGCGTGTGTTGCGCTATGATATCGCGATATAATATAACCCAGCCAACCCGACGTCTCTCCGCGACTCTCGCCAGCAATACAGACGGTTTGTATCGCGCGCCCGTGCGCGAGCGAAACTTTCACAAAATACCATATAAGTCGCGCGGGACGCCCGCGCGATCCATTATTTATGCGTGTCCGACGAATGACCTCGCGCAACACGCGAATTAAAATCGTCGCGCCGCGAGATACGCGAATGTCGAATTGATGCGTTGTCAATGTGCCCCGACGAAGCCCGATATATGGTGAAGTAGATGTTCACATGTTTACGTGAACATGTTTATGTATGTACATACATTTCTTCCTATGTAGATTGACTTCAATCTCGATTTTATTTACTCTTTATCTTTTTCTGATTCTTAGAACTAGAAAAAGATAAAAAATAAATCAAACCGAAATTAGAGTTAATCCGCATTGATAGAAATGGACATTATACACGCGTATTACAAAGTTACAAAATGGTATCCTGCATGTCACGTGTATTACAACGCAACTGTAGAAGCGCATGTGAAATAAGAACGATAGATATATATTTTTTTAATTGCGTTCTGGAGTCATCGAAGTGTTCGAAATTGCAGTAACTTAGTAAGCTACGTCGGTGCGCGCAAACACGTAGAGTTTTGAGAAGACGCTGGAAATGGCATGCGAGCGTGTCTTTGCTTACGTAAAGGAAATCAAATATCCTGCCTGATAATTACAAGCCACGTGCTGTAAGAAATGAGCGTGTCGCGTAGACGGGCGAGGAAATTAGCTGAGAATTTACATACTGCTCGCTCGCGAGGGCAACGCGATTATACGGAAGGCTTTCGAGTGTCAAGGAGACGTCTGCAATTCATCGAGTAACACGAGAAGAACTACATAAATGTATTAAAATGAGGTGAAATTCATCTAAACTTAGAAAGTGAAGCGAAAATTTATATAAATAAATAAATAAATATCGTAAATAAAAGAACAATTTACATAGTATTAACACATGAGAGCCAATAAAGTATGATAGGACTCGCAAATTTAAAAAATATAAAATAAAAGAAGAAAGCGACGAGTACCAGTCAGCGCGGTAATTAATGCGCAATGAAAATTCTAAATATAATTAAATTTTTAATTAAATATATTTAAGTAATGCAACATGAGAGTCAATTATTCATTTCGCCCAATTCTTTCTGTTCATTTAATTAAAATTGAAATGATCAAAAACTTTCAAAAAATTTTTAGTGTCTGAAATTACGTCAAAGTCAATGTGCATAAAAAAAATTGAGATTTGTTTCAGAATAAATAAAAATTCGATATGTCAAAATGGAAATGGAATATTCTATACAGCGCTGTGTTTTACTGTTCGTTAAGACGTC